ACTCAAAGAAGGAGAGGTTATTTACCTTTCAGTAACTTGCGTTCTTTGAGATGTGTGGTCCCTATCTGTTTTCCACTATCTGCCCTTCTTCCCCTTTGTAGGACTTGTAGTAACAAGGGAAACCTGAGAGGCAATTGGTCCACACTGCCACTTAGTGTGTCTACAACACAAGGAGGAGAACTGCAGAGCACAGCCTGGAAGACACTACTAGCAAAAATCTTCCAGACTCAGATACATGGAGTGCATGAACACCCCACAGTGGAATACAGATAGAGGCCACACATCGTGAAGAATTCAAGTTACAGAAAAGTAAGTAACCTCTCCTTCCCTAGTAAGCTTTGATCTGTCGCATTTTGAAATGGGAGTAGATCAAAGTGCACTAAGGGCTTGTCTTCACTACCGAGGTAAGTTGACCTAAGTTATGCTACTCCAACTACGTGAATAATGTAGCTAGAGTTGATGTAGCTTAGGTCGACTTACCCCATTGTCTTCACTGCACTGCATCAATGGGAGATGCTCTCGGGTTGACGTCCCTTACTCGTCTGGCACAGTTGGAGTACCATGGTCGACCGGAGAGTGCTCTGCCATTGATTTAGCGGATCTTCACTAAACCCACTAAGTCAACCCCTGCTGCATCGATTGCAGCAGCGTTGATCTCCCTGTAGTGAAGACCAGCCCTAAGGAACTGTTAGCGCTTATCAGCATGGTCCACATGGACACTTAGCGTGCAGCAGGCTAATGCAGGGTAGATTTATACCACAGCTTACTGTGAACTAAATGTTTATATAGCCAAGCGGTTAGTGTTATGTAGCTTGTGATATTCTGCTTTGTTTTTCAAAGAAATATGTGCAGATGACTGTTCGAATATATCACATCCTTATGAGTGCAAGAATGTGCCCAGGAGCCTGAGCACTGAGAATGGGGTTTGGGACAAAGTAATGAGACTGGAGGGAAAGGATGGACACACCAGCTCAGGAACTGAGGACATTCTATTGCTTGTGGGGGATCACTGAAGAAAATCACATTAAGGGTAATGAGCATACATTGCTCTGGAAAAGAGAATTAAATATTTAATTTTATTCAACTAAGGTCCAGGCAATAGAAGGTGAAATGCCTAGGTACTCGGCTACTATGGCAATGGGCACAGTATGTGAGAGGGAACTAGACTGGAGTTAAGACTGTGTTAAGGGACAAACTTTAAGGTTTGGCGCTACATCTCTTGATAACAGTTGACTTGATCACGGTCCATAATTATATGGGAAACAAAAATTTGATAATGGGCTCTTCAATCTAGCAGACAAAGCTTTAACACGATCCAATGGCTGGAAGTTGAAGTGAGAAACACTCAGACCGGAAATGTGGTGCACATTTTAGAAGTGAGGGTAATTAGCCATCAGAACAACTGACAAAAGGTTATTGTGGATTCTCTATCACTGGCAATTTTCAAATCAAGACTGGATGTTTCCATGAAAGATTTCCCTTAGTTCAAACAGGAAGTAATTCAGGGAATTCCTATGGCCTGAGTTTTGCACAATGTCAGATTAGATTATCAGAATGGTCCCGTCTGGCATTAGTCTCTATGAATCTTGGTAGCTGACATCTGGCTATGTGAGAGGATTGTAAATGGGATTCAGATCTTCTTTTCTATATCACTGGAAATCACAAATCCCACCACACCTGGCATCCTTATTGGCTGTCTCCAAAGAGCGGCCAAAAACTGAGCTGTGGGGAAAAAAAAAGCCTTCTCAAGCAGTTAGCTTGAGGTCAGGCTCCAGTCCAGAACTAGGTATGTTGTCAGGGGAAGGTGAGGAAGCATGCTCTGTTGCTGCTTATTCTGTACTTGTTCTATGGGGAAATAAAGGCCTTCTGGCCTGAAATGGAAACAGATCACTGGATTGTAAAATTAAAAGCTTGTAGAGCAGTTTTTAATTAAGGGCTGTGGAAAAGCCAACAGGTGCAGAGGAGTACATGGTTCAGACGGAGACATCCCTTAGGGGAGGATTTATTAAAGAGGCTCCTCTATATATAAAGAAGAGAGGACAGAAGTTGATAAAGTACAGGTAGGAACTGAAAAGAAACAGTCAAATGAAAGAGTTCTAGTCAATTACATCACATGAAGCCAGAGCACTAAATATTGACAAAGTTTGTAAGTGCTTCTATATAAATGCAAGAAATCTAAATACTAAGATAAATGAGTGCCTGGTGTTAAATGAGGATATTGATATAATAGGCATCACAGAAAATTGGTGGATTGATGATAATCAATAGGACACAGTAATACCAAGGTACAGAATATGCAGGAATGATGGAGTAGGTCATACTGGTGAGGGTGTGGCTCTGTATGTGAAAGAAAGCATAGAGTCCAGTGTAGTAAAAATCTTAAATGACTCAAACTGTACTATAGAGACTCTCTGGATAGAAATTTCATGCATGACTAATAAGAGTAAAGCAGTAGGGATATATTACCAACCACCTCACCCAGGATGGTGATTCTGAAATACTGAGGGAGATTAGAGAGACTAGAAAACCCAATAAAAATGGTGGATTTCATCTATCCCCATATTGACTGGGAAGATGTCACCTCAGGGTAGGTTGGAGAGAGAAAATTTCTAGACACCATTAGTGACTGCTTCTGGGAGCAGCTAGTCCTGGAACCCACAAGGGGAGAGGCAATTCTTGATTTAGTCCTAAATGGAGCACAGGATCTGGTCCAAGGAGGTGAATAGAGCTGGACCGCTTGGTAATAGCGACCATAATGTAGTTAAATTTAACATCCTTGTTGGGGGGAGGAAATACCAAAGAAACCCACCACAGTAGCATCAAACTTCAAAAATGAGGAGGCACAGGCTAAAGGGACATTCAAACCAACGGTCACAAGCTGCATGGAAACTTTTAAAATACATCATAATAGAGGCTTCAACTAAATGTATACACCACATAAAAAATAATATGACGGAGACCAAAAAAACCCCCTCCACTATGGCTAAACAGAGTAAACGAGAAGGTTAGAGACAAAAAGACATCCTTTAAAAACTGGAAGTAAAATCCCACTGAGGAAAATAGAAGGGAGCATAAACTTCGGCAAGTCAAGTGTAAAAGTGTAATTAGGCAGGCCAAAAAAAGAATTTAAATAGCAATTAATAAAAGACAGTAAAACCAACATCAAAAATAAATTTAAGTACATTAGAAGCTGGAAGCCTGCCAAACAACCGGTGGGGCCATTGGATAGCGGAGGTGCTGTAGGAGCACTCAAGGAAGACAAGGCCGTTGTAGAAAAGCTAAATGAATTCTTTGCATTGGTCTTCACTGCTGAGAATGCAAGGGAGATTCCTACACCTGAGCCATTCTTTTTAGGTGACACATCTTAGGAACTATCCCAGATTGAAGTGTCCAGTAGAGGAGGTTTTGGAATACATTGATAAATTACACAGTAATAAGTCACCAGCATCAGTGGGTATTCACCCAAGAATTCTGAAGGAACTCACATATGAAATTGCAGAACTTCTGTACTAGATTGCTGGAGGATGGCTAACGTAACACCAAATTTTTAAAAAGGCTCCAGAGTCGCTCCTTGGTTGAAACTTTGATAAAGGAGAATCCTACAAGGATCTCTACTGGGACCAGTGCTGTTCAACATATTCACAGATGATCTGGGAAAAGTGAGTAAACAGTGATGTGGCAAAATTTGCAGAGGTTAGAAAATTACTCAAGATAGTTAAGTCCAAAGCACACTCTGAAGAGTTACAACGGGATCTCATAAAACTGGGTGAATGGGCAACAAAATGGCAGATGAAATTCAGCGTTGATAAATGCAAATAATGCACATTGGGAAAAAATCATACCAACTATAAATACAAAATGGTGGGGTCTAAACCAGCTGTTACCATTCAAGAAAGATCTTGGAGTCATCATGGATAGTTCTTTGAAAACATCTGCTCAATGTGCAGTGACAGTCAAAAAAGCTAACAGATTGCTAGGACCCATTTGAATAGGGATAGATATTAATACAGAAAATATCATGATGCTATATACATCCATGGTACACCCACACCTGGAATACAGCATGCAGTTCTGGTCACCCAGTCTCAAAACAGATATATTAGAGTTGGAAAAAGTACAGAGAAGGGCAACAAAAATTAAGGTTATGGAACAGTTTCCATATGAGGAATTCAGAGTAGCAGCCGTGTTAGTCTGTATCCGCAAAAAGAAAAGGAGGACTTGTGGCACCTTAGAGACTAAATTTGTTTCTCTAAGGTGCCACAAGTCCTCCTGTTCTTCATACGAGGAATGTTTCAGAAGACTGGAACTGTTCAACTTAGAAAAGAGATCACCCCTTCACATAACACAAGGCCAGTGGTCACCCAATGCAATTGGGATGCAGCAGGTTGAAAGCAAATGTAAGAAAGTACTTCACGCAATGCAGTCAATCTGTGGAACTCGTTGCCAGGGGATGTTGTGAAGGCCAAAACTATAATTGGGTTAAAAAAATAATTAGATCAGTTCCTGGAGGACAGGTCCAACAATGGCTATTAGCCAAGATGGTCAGGGACACAACCCCATTTTCTGGGCGTTCCTAAGTGTCTCACTGCCAGAAGCTGCAACTGGACGACACGGGATGGATCACTCGATAATTGCCCTGTTCTGTTCATTCCCTATGAAGCATCGAGCACCCGCCACTATTGGGAGTCAGGATATTGGGCTGGATGGACCATCGGTCTGACTCCGTGTGGCTGTTCTTATGACTATCAGTCTGCTACCTTTCATGAACACTAAATTCACATGAAGAACTTTTTAATTAAACAGATGAACTCTTGTAGTGAAAAGGTCTTACCTTGTTCAATGTGAAGACCTTTATTTACTGAGCATGGTTTTGAGTGATAGAAGCTCCTGGGCTGGATACGTTTCCAAGGGTTTTTAACATGTTTATTCTGAGTGGGCGGGAGAGTTTGTGTGGACGTCTGATTGCTCTTTCAGGTGTGGCTTCACTTTTATGCCAACAGAACAATTTCCCAGCCAGCAGCCCTGAGCGGTTACAGGACTTGAAATCCACAGTGGACTTGCTGACCAGCATCACGTTTTTCAGAATGAAGGTGAGGATTCATCACAGCGATAATATTCCAGTGTGTGTGTGTGTCATTGTCCTATACTATTCAGAGAAAAGCCTGCTTACTGCAATGAAGAACTAACCCATTATTCTCCAAAGCCAAACCCTTTTCTGCATGGAAATGACTAGTCACAGGCAACAGCGATCTTGTGCTGCCCACGTAGTAAACATAAACATTCTTATCAGTGTCACAACTTAATACTCCTAACTCTGATGCAAAATAAATACTTTTCATCATCAGTAATCACAAAATCCTTCTGACAAAGAAACATACAATTTATCTGTACCCAGGTAGGATATGTAATTTTACCATTTATTGACTTATAAACTTTTCCTGTAAAACTACATTTCCAGCCTTATCAATAAACAACAATTAAGTCTGTACAAAAACTTCTATGGTCTGATAAATATATTAAGCAATAATATTTCTTATTTAACTGTATCTCTCAAAAGGAAATATATACTGAAATTAAGATAACGCAAATAATTACTTGATTAATAAAGAGTCATGGCTCACAGGTAAGGTCGTTGTGCAATAATGAAATGTCTTTTTTGTGCTTATATTTGTTTTTTATGAGGGCAGCATAAGATTTGATATCTTTAATTATTCATTGCCTTGTTTTTAAATGGTTGGTTTCCGAAGATGATGTGATGGATGAGAACACTGTTGTCACTTAGCCATCTTCACCTTTTTTTTAAAATGAGTTTTCATTCATGGCATTTCAAAATGTGCTTTATCAAGTCTGACTGTAAGTTCTTCAGGCAAGGAACGTGTTTTATCTCTTATGAAAAAGCACCAGATAAACTAACTAAATGTCGTCTTATAGCGTGTGCTGCATTTGAAAGTCCCCATAATCCATACAAGATTTATGTAAAATGCTAAAATTGTTCCCAAACTCTGCTTTCTACTTAGAACGGTTAGAAATTAAGAAAAAAACAAACAAAAAAAAAACCAGGACCAAATGTAAAACCAAGTGTGTTCCAGGACATGGTCTTATCCCAAATCTGATGCTTGCAAAGCCTTTTAGAATAGATGTGCATTGTGAGTGTGAGGTAGAATAATAAGTATAAAGCAAAAAGAATGAGGGCTGCAAGAGGGAAAAGGCTGTACACGTCTGCACACTATTATTAATGGCTCTAATCCACATTTTAAAGTTGTTAACAAAGAGGTCAAATGAATTCCTGAATTAGAAGGCACCATTGTGGATTTTAAAAAATAACATGAGATGTTCTGGGAACTCTTGGCTGATCAAATGTCATGAGCTCTGATGGAGTCTTTCTCTGGACTGTCTTTTGCAGTGGGAGAGACTTTGATGTTTGTGTCCTGATTTCATGAAGAAGTCCCTTGAACCTCACATAGCAGTACTGTGTGCCTTGCCCTTCTAACCTATGTTTCTAGATACAGCTGTCTAGTTTAGCTCCTTATCTGGACCCCAGGACTGTAATGTCGGAGTGCCTCACAATCTTTAATGCTGTTTATGCTTACAACATCCCTGTGAGGTAGGGTTGTGCTGTTATCCCTGTTTTGCAGGTGAGGAGCTGAGGCTCAGAGACACTAAGTGACTTGTTCAGGTTCATAGGTCACTGAGGCAGCACAAGGAATTGAACCAGTCTCTCTCAAGTCCTGGGTTAAAGCCCTCTTCCTCTTACGACGCATGAGCAGTATCTCTTTAACTTTATTCCTGCTCCCTGCCAGGTTCAAGAGCTACAGAGCCCACCTCGAGCCAGCCAAGTAGTAAAGGACTGCGTGAAGGCCTGTCTCAACTCAACCTATGAATACATCTTCAACAATTGCCATGAACTGTATAGTCGCGAGTACCAGACAGATCCCGTGAGTAGATGGATAGATGTGCAAAAATCAAGGCTGAGTGGCTTGAGATAATGTAGTAAATAATATCTGAAGATAAACCAGCATAGACTAAATTTTGTGGCCTGTGATCTTCCGAATGCACATCAGCTGTAGCCAATTGATGTGCATTGATTGCGGTGAATGAAAGAGGATGATTGTTTTACTGTCACTAATTGCTTTAGAGATCATTTTCAAAAACCACAGATGTTTTATTCCATGATTGGAGCAGACTAATGAAAGAGTAGATTTGATATAATGTTCATTCAGCAACAGCTAATTAGAACGCATAGTAAGCTAACGGAAGGAATAGGGTTTAAATTACATGAGTCTTCAGGCACAGAGTTCTATCTTGTTTTACTGAATCTAGTTTACCCCTTGCGTATCATGCATGGTGGTTGGTGCAACTCTACACTATAGCTACATCGATCCAAATTGTTCCATTTACCGTAATGTGCAGATGGCATGAAGAGATGCATTGTTTGTCATTGTGGATAGATTAGTAAATATCCGTGATCCAATTAGAAGTGGTTAGAAATAGTTAGAAATAGTTTAGGCAAGAAAGCACATCATGAGATGTCCAGAAACAAGTCCCTGGTCCCAATGCAGTAAACAAGAAAGAAATGGCCATTTTAATACCAGAGTTACGCAAGGCTTGCCTTTTAGCAGCATAATCTGCGTTTTATGATATTTTGTGTTAGATCAGGTAGCTTGTCAAGACAGAGCCATAATATGGAAACTTCAGAAGAAAGTGGCAAAGGATGCAGCATGTGCAGTTCACAGGAAACCCGCAGGCCTGATAAGAAGTCATATTTGTTTAAATTCAGTATTCAGTTTCTCACGACTTCCTTTCCAGAACAAAAATCAGGACCTTCCTCCTGAGGAACAAGGCCCCAGCATCAGGAACCTGGATTTCTGGCCTAAACTCATCACTCTCATAGTTTCCATTATAGAAGAAGATAAAAATTCATATACCCCTGTCCTGAACCAGTAAGAATCCTCCATGTTCTTTATGGCTAATACTAGAAGTAAACTCTTTGTCTATTGTGTTTTATTTGTGAAACTGTCTTCTATCTTTTCTGTTGTTTGTGTATTTATAGAGAATACTTATCTTGTCTGTCTGTCTTTCTGTCTTATTTGTCTGTCTATATAAATAATTCTTTTTGATTGGGATGGAAGAGTTTCAAAAGGTTCAGTTTTGATGGAGTTCGAACCCATACACCTTGGTTATTACAATCCTGAACTCAGTGAGACACCTGAAAATGGGGTGAGAGTTGTTTTTTCTTGTACAGTTTTCTGGGATGCACTTTTCTAACACACATACTTGGTCCTGTGGTGACAGCACTTTGTGCTGTGATTTAGGTGTGTCCATGTTCTATGCTGAACTGAGAAAGTTCAGTGGGTGGGGATGGCTTTGTTCAGGGCAAAAGGATCCACTTCTTCTCTTTGGGGAGGAAGATGTCAGATACTTTCCATTCAGCTGTCTCCAGCAACCCACCATGTTTCCTGCAGACAAAGGGGCAGATTACACATTTGGGATTTTGCAGGTGCACCTGCTTAGTGTTAGCCTTTTGGCAATGTTGCACACTAATCCCAACAGTGACAAGAAACCTAGTTTTGTAAGGGGAAAAGAAAAAAGGTATAAGAGGGATAAACATTTTGACATAATACTACAGAATTATAGTATGTAGCTACTTCTAGAGAACAGCCGTGCAATAGCTAGTCTTGTAGATTAAAAACATAGTTACAGTAGCAAGAATATTTTCAAAATCTGTGTAATCTATAGCACAGAGTCCAGTTGGCACTTTCCAGATATCTGACTTTTATCTTCACAGGATGAAGGAAATTTCTGTTGTGTTGAATCTTTCAGTAGATAGATTAGCTCAGAGCTGAATGAAAATGCCCCTTATTCTTAAACTATTAAAGCCTTATCTCTGTTTCCCCCATTCAGGTTTCCTCAGGAGCTCACTGTTGGGAAGGTCAGTGCTGAAGTCATGTGGAGCCTTTTTGCCCAGGATATGAAATATGCCATGGAAGGTAGGAGAATGTTGGGATTTCTCACTACTGTAGGCTCTTGCCCTGTGATTGCTAACTTTTTGTTCCTAGTCGATAGCATGTGAATAGCACTTAAGGAAAAGTCTGACAGGGTGATCGTTTTGTATAACCGTCTCAAGTAGTTTTCCAGTGCACATCAGAAATGCTGTTTACATGCCAGTAGGAAGTGGAAAGCTGGCCCACATAGCATTTTAATCCCTAGAAAGCCTCAGTCATCAAAACCTCCAAACTGCAATCAAAAAAGTAAATGGAAACTGACAGTTAGCTTTCCCAAGCAAGTTGTACGAACTGCAGCAGGATTATCCTATTTCCTCTGCTTTTGACTGCTCACTTGATAACTTGCTGGACAGAGTTGCTTGGAGCGGAACTTGCAAACTAATTGTTTTTAAATTCCCATTAATTATCTGAAATATTTGCAATGGAAGCCACAGAAATGAAAACTGCACCGTGGTGGTGTCCTAGTGTAGTGTGAGGTTCTGCAGTGAGCAGCAGAAGTTCTTGAGAGGTTTCCCACAACCAACCATCTGGGAAATCCCTGCTTGTGCTAAATTCTCTGTGAACACTACCTCCTCTACGGTAACTAACCGCACAAGATGCCCAGACTTCACCCAGGAGCCTGAGAAGAGTTTTTTTTTCCTTCTCTCTCTCTCTGTCTCTCTGTGTATATGTATATGTGTATATATATATATAAAAAAAATAGAACAGACTTCAGCCATCCTCACCTGGAATATGATGGAGCTACAGCTCGTAGTGTGTGCTGATCTCAGCACACTACGGTCCATCTTCACTCAAGCAGACTGGTGTTGAAATCTACTCTTGGTATTAATCCTTGGGACATACAAGAATAGGAAGGTTCTGTCATTCCGTCTCCCAAAACTCCAGCACAAGTTTCTCTCCCTCAGTGAGTTAAGTGATGCAAAGGCAGGCAGGCAGATTATCCTTTTCAAACCTCTCAATGTGAAGGCAGCTCAGTGTAAGAAACACCTAAGAGGCATTTGGTGGGCTCCTAGGAATCTGGTCTCCATCTTCAAATAGTCAAGGCAGACTCATCCATAGGAGTTTTATCATTCCCAGAAATGGGAGTTATGCATACAGAGGCCAGGTCACTCCCAGAGCAGAGTCCTGTTATTTCCAGCACTCCTTTTATTCTTAAAGTGTTAAGAGTTTACTGAATTTACCTTCTATAATATTTGGACCCAATCTTACCAGATGTAGAGTGCATTCAACTTCCATTGCCCTATATCATCTGCATCTGATAATCCATGTATGCTGTATTTATTGTTCCAACACCTCCAGTTGTTACGTTGTCACTATCAAAATGGTCCCCAAACCATTTGTTCTTTCTTTATCTGATTTCAGTGAGTTAGCACTAGTGGAACGGTGGACAGCCTGACAGAGGGAGGGGCTCGGACCTGTGCAAGCTTTCCTAACCAGCATCCTTCAAGTGTCAAGGCTCATTTAACTTGCAGCCCCTTGGTTATCAGTTGAAACCATAGGGGAAAAGATGCTGTTCCCTGGGTCACTGCTGCACCTGGTCTTGTGTCTTTCGAGCCTGGAAGGGTGCTGCGAATGCCCACTTTATTTTCTGCTTTTTAGCCACATATAAATATACTGTGGCAGACTAATGCATGGCCACTTTATGTTGTCTTGTCTCTGATAGTGTCTTCTCTCTCCACTGGTCCCTTCCTTGGCTCCTCTGTTTACATCCTTTCTCTGGGTGTTCTCATTGGCTCACATGGTTTGAGCCACACTCTTGATGCTTGGTGATTCAGCTTCCTTCATCAAATCCCACATCTCTGATTATCTTTGTCTTCCTCTGTGTCTTGCCATCGGTTACACTTACCATGGCCAGCACTGAGCTCCTTGTCGTCCTTCCCATTCCCCCATTCTGTCACTGCTAACCACAACATCCTTCTCCTCCTTTCACCGAAGTGCAGCACCTAACTGCCATTTTTGACTCCTCCCTTAGCCCTCAAGCCCATTCAGTGGAGCCTGCGTGAATAAAAAATTTGTATCCGCATCCGAACTGTGTGCCTCAAAAACGGTCCATGGATATCCGCGGATTTGCAGAGCTCTACTGTTCAGGACGCAGGTGCTAACGTCATCTTCCTTGCTGGTCATTCTGAGCATATCGTCCCCCTCTTTGAATCCCTCATTTGGTGTCTGTTTCCCCATATCAAGCTTACACTTCTTGTCCTTACCTTCAAGGTCCTTCACAACTGCCCTGCCTTACTTGTCTGCTCTTCTCTCATGCTGCTACTAGCCTCATTCAGCCATTTGTCAGCTTCTCTCCCATTTCCACACCTTCTCCTATGTTGCCCCCTGCATGGTCTTCCCAGAACCATGGTAGTGCATCTGTTTTATTAACTTAGATGGAAGAAAGGGCCGAAAGTGTTAACATAACCCAGTCACTGTCCAACATTAAACAGTGTTAAGCAAGGTCTCGGGCTTGGCATACAGAGACCTCAGTCTGCTGAGTGCCATGGCTTAAACACCATTAGACATCCTCTTAACTTTTTATTAAAGATAAAGAAAAGAAGGAAAAACAGTTAAAACATTTGAATTGTGTAGAATCATAGAACTGGAAGGGACCTCGAGAGGTCATCTAGTCCAGTCCCCTGCACTCATGGCAGGACTAAGTATTCTCTAAACCATTCCTGACAGGTGTTTGTCTAACCTGCTCTTAAAAAATATAGTATTAAGTAAGGCTTCCATTTTCACAGCATCCCTTTTTCCCTTTCCCTTTAGCTGGAGGAAGTTTTAGAAGGAAAAAAACCCTTGTATGACCGTCTCCTTAGGTGGTATCCAAGATGGTGATAACTGTCTCTTTGGGGAAAAGAGAAGTTAGTTAAGACAACCTGGAGCTGCTGCTGTTAAAGTCCAATCCTGTTTCCTTCTGGTGGTGGTTGGGATTCAGCTGGTGCTGGTAGCGGGGGTGGTGTTGTCTGGGTCCCTCTGTCATTAGCTCGGGTCAAGTCAGGATGAGGGTGATAAAGGCCCAGGGTCCAAGGAAGCAGTGGGAGTGGCAGCCGTGATGATGAAGCTCGCACCTGTAGCCACTGTCTGTTCTTCCTCTCCCTTACCCCCAAGTCTCTTTCTTTAAAGACCCACAAAGGGAATGGTGTGTGGAATAGCCCATTCCCTCGTTATTTTGTCCATGAATTAGACCTACTATCTGACATACCAGTTTTGGTTTGTTAGTTTCCAGTTCCACATTTTCTGTTTTTATGAAGAATGATTTTAACATAGCCATTGAACCATATCGCTAGTCCTGTTTGTTTAGACTTAGTTTTTTATCTCTCTCTGTACCATTTTCCATCAGTATTTGCTATTACAGGTTATTGTGACAAATTATGAACTGTCCTATGCTTTTGATGATAGAGTTCACAATTAGAGTAAATTTGCTGATCCAGTTATCACAATGCATCCTGGCACCCATCTTAATATCTTCTCAATTGTAAGTTTCTCCGGTGAGAACTGGCTTGCAGTTGTGTCTTGTACACCCCCTAGCACACTGGTGCAGGAAAATAACTGTAAGGGGTACACACATGCAGAGCCCCCCTTTTATAGGGTGGTCTTCTGTGTGGCCTGTGGTTGGTACAGGTGAAGTTAGTGGACTGAGAAGGATTTTATGGTGAGGAGCTAAAGGAAGGCTGAAGAACAATAGGAGGTAGTTCTGTATAATTGTACCTTGACCATGCATATGGTTCAGTAGGCCTGAAAACTTTGTAACATGTATTAGCCCTCTTCTGCATGTGGCTCTTTGAAAGATTCTGCCTTGTGGAGATTCTAGTTTTCTTAGTAAGCGTTACTCTGAATGCTCTTTAATTTGCCTTCTACAAGCCAACAACAATTGTAATCAAAACTGGCTTTAAACTAAATTCAGTTATTATAGTTCTTGTTGCCTTTGTTTTAAACTCAGATGTTGAAATTAGCTCATAGCTTTCAATTAAAAATGCAAATTTAAGTAAAAAATGAACTTATGTAAAGAGCGAAGAACAGATTTTATCAGTCTCGATCACTGGACTTGGCTCCCCTCTAGTCCAGTTGTTGCACAGCTGTACCCTGAGATTCTGAACTCCCGAGCATTGTCAGTATCTGCTGTAATCCTCATTCAGTCCTCTTGGTGTAATCCGTCTGTCCCAGGGCAGTGTGCATTCAATGCGATCAAGCAGGAGGGCCCATCTCTACAACAATAGCAAATGTATTCTGTGGAAGATAGATTTGTGTGTGTGTCCTTCCAAAGTACAAATACATGCTCTTAACTGTTTTCATGGTGTTTTTCCTTGTGTGTCTGTTCCTAAGTTCTGGATAAAATGAGCTCACTCAACTCACCAAGTGGTAAGTTCCTGCCTTTCAGTAGAGTTCGTAGTTGTGAGTAGGTAAAGAGATTTTCCTCTCCTACCAAAAGCATCCTTGATAGTGTCTACAGAGCTGTAGTATATTAAGCTCTTACGCTAACTGAACCTGATCTACCAAGAGGGTTCAGCAAATTAATTGATGCTGTGGGAGCTGGAGACAACTGCTGTTCAAGAGACTTTTTTTTGCCAACTAACTTCAAATGTTGGTTGGTGGCGATGTCTCACGTGCCAAATAATTCTAGGTGGAATCCCCCAGTCAGGGCCCATGAATCAGCTAAAAATAGGTGAGATCCACTGAGGAAGAATTTTAATTTCTGCTGCCTTTCTGAGAGCACCTGGAAGCTCCAGCTCCTGCATAATGCTGCTGCCTCCTGTATCCTAAGTGATGCAGGTTGCCATGGTGGCCCTGGATCCCCTTTGCTCAGCACTGGCTTTACCTTTGCTGCCAGCTGTAATGCCAGGTGATGGCTTTAGTGGAGAAACAGTCTCGGACGTGACTACTTGGAACTGTCCCTGTCCCACCTTCCATCTTGATAATCAAAGTCAACAGGGATGTTTCTGTTGCTGTTTCCTAGGATGAAGCTTTCTAGAAGGAACAGCAGAGTGTTCTGACTTGGAGTC